GTTTTAGGGTTCTAGGGTTTAGGGTCCCGCCACCCAAAAAGTGTACCCTTGCTCTTACTATGCAGTTTTAATACGGAAAGCCTAGAGTACACGAGGGCACAAGGGTGCTACTACAATCTGCCTCATAAGAAGGGAACCCCGACGGGAACACCGACGGGAACAAGGGCAACAAGAGTACTACTGTGGGGCCTTAACAATCAGAATGGGATTTTGGGGTATATTATATTATAACTATAACAAGGAGCCCTCCCCCCCCCCAAACAAAAAAAAAGTAATTGGTAATCATTGAGGCCCCTATCGTACTTTTGGGCCTAGATGCTCTTCTTGAAGTAAGCGTGTGACTGGGCAATGGCCCCGAACTCCACGGTGCCATTAAAGTACATGGGAACTACCACCAAGAAAGGGACGAGCTCGACAGCATGTTCGATCACATGCTTAAATAAGCCGAAGAGGATTTCGATAGCATGTTTCTTATATTCCGCCCAGATCGCATAGTCCAGCACTTTCTCGCAGCACTCATATTCGTATTTATAGCCACGGAAGAATGCCACAGACTCACCGCTCTCCCGAATACGCACCAGGCAGTAGCGAAGATTCGCCTCAACGGCCAGCACACGCCGCTGAATCCGTATGAGAGGTCCTGCAACATGACTCTTTAAGGTTTTAGGGTTTAGGGCTTAGAGCTTTAGCATGTTAGGGATTTAGGATTTAGGGTAACATGACCCCTACTCGGAAAGAAGCCCTGCAACACTGATTGTTCAGGTCCCGCAAATATGCCCAGAGAAATAAGGGTGTAGGTCAGCGACACGGCCGCCAAGATGTAGAAGAGAGTAGGTGACATCGCGAAGAGCTTCACGGAGCTCATGGTTATGTTTAGAAAGTCTTTCAGGAGGCGGGTCATCAGGTGAATCGAGAAGTGACAAAAGGACGCGATGTTCTGCCCGATACGCTCGTCCGGGTTGTCCACGTTGCCATACTCCATGCTCAAACGATAGAAGCCATTGTCCTCGTTCCTGAACACTTCTGAGATTCTGATACTAGTCTGCTTACGATTTTCGTCCTTATGTGAATATACTTTACATAATAATCAAAACCAGTTTTCACTAACAAACCCAGAGACTCCAATATCCCTTAATTAAGGAATATACCTTAAATCATATTAAGGATCCTACTATAATTTAAGGAATATTCCTTCATTAAGGAATATTGGAGTCTCTGGGAAATCAAGAGCTGTTCAAGAACCGTCTGGGTTCACATAGAGCTGAAGCATGCGACGGGACAGATATCGCCGCCAGTCCAAAACAAGCAGACAAACACTGCCGATGTGCACCTAGGGGCCAGAAAAAGGGACGTTTAGGGTTTAGGGTTTAGGACAGAAAGATAAGAGACCACTGGGGTTTTGAGAAAGGTCATTTTCCCAGAGCGCCCAATACCCCTTAATTGAGGAATATACCTTAAATTATAATATTAAGGCCCCTATAATTTAAGGTTTTTTCCTTAATTAAGGGGTATTGGGTTCTCTGGGTCTTGGGCCCCGAGCACCAAGAGGATCGGCATCAGCAAAGCAGCCATCCCAAGCAGCTCCCACCAGATTTTCCAAAAGCGTTCAGGGTGTCCCTTAGAGGGGCGCATTGAAAGCTCAGGGCCGTCCCGTATCTAGGTCTTATTCCCATCTATTTCATACTAGCAGCAACAAGCAGATGCCCAAGATGACTTTTGAACCGATACCCTAAACCCTAAACCCTAAACTCTAAACCCTAAAAACCCACCTGGCCGAGCCTTGGCCAGGTGAGTTTGCAAGGTGCCATGCACCTGTGCAAGGTGGAGCGTCACGGAGACCTGTCCGTACCTGGGCTTCGAAGTAGGCCCCAAATAATAAGGGTACCCTTTTTTCTACGACTTGGTTTTATGAAGGGAACCTAAAAAGAAAAAGGATACCTGTCCGTACCTGGGCTTTGAAGTAACCAGGGAGAAAAAAGTAGATCTCCTAATTTGGGGACGCTAACTACTAAAGGGTTCTCTATAGGAACCTACATAAGTTGGGCTTTGAAGTAACCAGGGAGAAAAAAGTATAGACTTCTATTTCACAATGGTTCCTTCAAGGAACAAGGTCCCCAAAAAAGTATTAAAGTATGGTACTCCAAAGCCCAGGTACGTAGAGGCGATGATGAGGGCCAGCAGGAACCAGGCGCGGCAACGTGTCTTGGGGTCCACAAAGTACGGGGTGAAGAGGGTTGCGAAGGCACGAAGACTTGCCCAACCTTTGGCCGACGTCTAAACTCCTCCACAATATTTCGTATAGAAACCCCAAGGAAGCTATAAAGTCCTAAGAGCCAACCCCTCGACCCTAAACCCTAAACCCAACCAACAACCCTAAACCCTAAACCCCTAAACCCTAAATACCCTAAACCCTAAATACCCTAAACCCTAAATACCCTAAACCCTAAACCCCTAAACCCTAAACCCTAAAAAAAACACCAAGCAACATCCAACCTTCGCAGGCTGTCCAAGGCCGATCACGGCCGTCTTCGCCTGCTGGACTCCTTTGCCCTGTACCAACTCCTGGGTTCTTGCTATAGGGCTTTAGGCTTTAGGTTATAGGGTTTTTTGGGTTTAGGTTATAGGGCTTTAGGGCTATAGGGCTTTAGGGCTTTTTGGGTTCTTGCTATAGGGCTTTAGGCTTTAGGGTTTAGGGTTCTTGCTATAGGGCTTGAGGGCTTAGGGTTTAGGGCTTTAGGGTTTAGGGTTTAGGGCGTTAGGCTGGTTTTATTTATTTATTTTTGTTTTGAGCCCCTTTTTCCATCCATAGCATCCAGACCACAGTCAGAAGGTGGGCTTTAGGCTTTAGGTTATAGGGCTTTAGGGCTATAGGGCTTTAGGGTTTAGGGGTTTTGGGGTTTAGGGTATAGGGCTTTAGGGCTTAGGGTATAGGGCTTTAGGGCTTAGGCTTTAGGGCTTTAGGGTTTAGGGTTTAGGGTATAGGGCTTTAGGGTTTAGGGTATAGGGCTTTAGGATTTAGGGTATAGGGCTTTAGGCTTAGGGGTTTAGGGTGTAGGGCTTTAGTGCATAGGTCTTTAGGGTTTAGGGTATAGGGCTTGAGGCTTTGAGTTTTTTGGTTTAAGGTTTAGGGCCTTAATAATAGGAATAGGGCTTTTGGGGTATAGTATGCCATAATCAAAATAGTATTGGTAATTAGTTAAGGAATGTAGGGTTTGTATGATTAGAATAGGGGTTTTGGGGTACCTTATGCCGTAATCATAGTAAGGATCCCCTAAAATAGTATTGGTAACTTAGTCTAAGCTGCCAGAATAGGGATCTACAGTAAATAAGATGGTTCCTTTCTTCAACTAAATCCCTAAACCCTAAACCCTAAAGCCCTGACTCCCTAAATCCCTAAACTCCCAAATCCCTAAACCCTAAATCCCCAAATCCCTAACCCTAAATCCCTGAATCCCTAAATCCCTAAAACCTAACCCCGAAAGCCCTAACTCCATAAATACCTAAACCCTAAATCCCCAAACCCTACACCCCTAAATCCCTAAACCCCTAAATCCCCAAACCCTAAACCCCCTAAATCCCTAAACCCTAAATTCCTGACTCCCCAAACCCTCCCAAACCCAGACCACCGGGAGGATCCAAAAAAAAGATCCCTTAAGGAGGTTCCTATACAGTACCCTTTAGTAGTTAAGGTCCCAAATTTAGGGGATCTACTTTTTAGATCCTCCCGGGGGTCTGGGAAGAAGAAGAGGCCACCCTAAACCCTAAACTCTAAACCCTAAATTCCTAACTCCCAAAACCCTCCCTAAACCCTCCCTAAACCCTAAACCCTAAACCCTAAACCCCGAAGAAGAAGAGGCCCAGTCTCTGGCTCAAGATGATCCACATTGAGAAGTCTTGCAATGCGCTCCTTCAGTCTGCGGCGGAAAGTCATGGCTCCTCCTTTGGCTCTTAGTCCTTTGGGTGTCAAGGCTTTTGGCTTTAGGGGTTTAGGGTTTAGGGATTTAGGGTGTCAAGGCTTTAGGGTTTAGGGTTTAGGGCCCTTGAAGTACGGGTCTTTTCGGTTCTCAAGGTGCAGGAGAAGGGGGTCTACCTAGTCGACTTGAAGGTTTTCGAGAGCACGGCTGCGACGGGAAGGACCAAGCGCGTTCACTGCCCTCCTGGGGCCTTTTTGTGACCTGTTCAGTCTTATGCTGCTTCGTCCATGGTGATGGTGGCAGTGAGTGGCATTACAGCCGGTGTGCGTAATTCGCCCTACACCGCCCTAAACCTCGTTGAGAGTGGCTGGCGTCATCACCACAGATGGCTTCGCATGCTAGTACCAGCAAGGACTAGCTTCCCAAACCACCGGGAGGATCTAAGACTAGCTTGAGGATCCTTGCGACCATATAGACATCATGTAGTATATGGGAGTTTCCGATTACTAGGGTACCTTATTTTGGGGTCCGTATAATAAGGATCCTACTATTTAGGATACTATCTTGGGGTCCCCTATTCGCGGAAACCCCCATATACCTTGGCCCTAAGGTTCGTAATGCTAGTAGCAGTAGTAGTAGCAGTAGGAGCCGGAGCAGCAGTAGCAGTAGGAGCCGGAGCAGCAGTAGCAGTAGTAGTAGTAGTAGTAGTAGTAGTAGTTGTAGTTGTAGTAGTAGTAGTTGTAGTAGTAGTAGTAGTAGTAGTAGTAGTAGTAGAAGTGGCAGGAGTGGAAGTAGTAGCAACTTTGGTATTGCTGTTGCTATCATTATTATTGTTAGTCTTATTTTGACTTGTTGGACATCATCTTAGTGCTAGCGATAGTGGTAGCAAGTGGTAGCAGTATATGCTCGTTTGTCGGCCTGGGCCATCACAAGACACGAAGGCCGGAAACGCCGTGGCATCGCTGCTGTCACCCGTGGAGAAGGCGTGGCCTTGGAGTGTAAAACGGACGTCTCCTCAACCAGGCCAATCACCGAAGAAAGCACAGAGTTGTCACCCCAAAGTCGGTACACCCCCGCCAACATTGACATATTTTTGGGGCCTTCACGATCAGAACAGGGTTGTGGGGTGCATCATACTTCAATTATGAAAACAAGGAACCTATGGAACAACTATAGGTAATCAACTAGGCCGCGGAATGGTATTTGGATGCTCTTCGGACTTTGTTGGTAGGGTCAGTAGGACTGCTTCCGGGGATCAAACCGGAAGGCGATACCAAGCAAGCGGACTCATAAGTCGAGAAAGCCAAGTACGGAACTCCTCTGAAACCCAAAACCCCAAACCGTAGTCAAACTCGGGTGACAGGAAACCATCTCGTTTTTCCCTCACAAACCATCAGTAGCTTCAACTGAAAATGGTTGAACATGTAGCTACTGAAACCTTATCTTGCTTGTAGCACCTCGTAGACTTGGACTGCCTTCTACTTGTTCCAGCGTGAGCATGAAGCGCCTGTAAGAAAGAGTGTGCCAGATGCCAAACGCAAGAAAGGGCGGACCATGGGCGTCTCAAAACAGAACCCCTTCGTTCTCAGAGGTCCTAGGATTTTAAACCCTAAACCCTAAACCCTAAGGGTTCAGAGGTCCTAGGATTCTAAACCCTCAACCCTAAGGGTTCAGAGGTCCTAGGATT